CATCATTAGAGTAGTTTTTGTGAGAAGATTTGGAGAAATTTTGAAATTTTGGAGTTAGGGTTCTTGTGATTTGAATCAGATTTCGATTTGGGGCTTTTGGCCGTTGAGCTGAGTTATGAAGGAAACGGCATCAGGTAAAAACGGTCGGGTCTGAGATTCAATCGGGTTTTTGGTTCGGTTTAATTTCGGGTTTCTCGGTTTTTTTCTGTGTTCTCGGTTTTCAGTCGGGAAACTACTGAAACCGAACCAAAATTGACTTCATGGTGAAATAGACATTTAACTTTCGATTCAGGGACATCGGTACAGAGGTAAACAATTGGGCTCGAGATAAGCATATAGCAAAGTTATCGTGGAGAAATATACAGTTTTTCCCCCTAACTCATTTGAAAACTTTTGGCTCCGTCGTAAGGAAAATCCTTCGATTGACCAGAAAGCGAAAGGTGGAGCAGTTGTGATTTTACGGCCGACACCAGAATCATCTCCTTGTTCTAGGGTTTCTCTTCATTCTCGGAACGGAGACGGTCGTGTCGCATTAGGAAGCAGGTGAATGGAGCTGTGAATCGGACTCGGAGATCCATGTCATGGCTGATTTCAGACCTCGACTCATCACACTCGATGGTCGCAACGATGAATGGAAGGACATTGATGGGTCTGAGTTCCCTCTCCGACCTGCACTTGATCCTGACACTGACCACGAGTATTCCGTGGGACAGACGACAGTCAAGGTAAAGGTAATGTGTTGATTCGACTTGGATATGCATTATATATTGGTTCGGAAATTAGTTGTGGTTTGTATAAATTGATGAAATTCGCGCTGGAATTTGAGATGTGCCAAGACCTGTTTGGTGATGCAGATTTGATAAATCTTGATTTTTTTGGACTTTTGAATTCAAATGTTCGATGATGAATCGTTTTATAATTTCCTTCCTGACATTTAATGGGTTAATTTCTCTTTATAGGCATTCCATGATGGCTGAGATATATATATATTTTTTGTTGGAAATTTCTCAGCTTTGTACAATACCTCCTTCTGATAAAGAGATAGATGTTGTTTTTACAACTCCTTTGAATAGTTGCTCCATTGTAACCTCAGAGGTTTTTCCTCTTTCTTCTCCATCTTATACAGTCTTTGCTTTCGTTTTCCTTTCTTGACATAGCTATGCCAACAGGTTTTTGAGATCCGATGCCTGGGTATAAAATAGTTTCTTCGTGATCATTTAGTGTGAAATATAGGAGTGTTTTGAATCCCCTTGAGAGGAAATCAAGTGTTTTCTTACGAAATCGAAAATCAAGATAAAGAATTGGTTAGGATATACAGGGGCTCTGTTATCAAATTGTGTTTATATCTTTTCATAGCTGTTATTATCTCCTTGTGAGGGTGAAAAAGTAGCTTTTTGTTCAAAGTACAAAGTTCGTCGAGAAACTTGGGAATAAGGGTGAAGAGGAAGGCGAGAAGCTACGGCGATGTCGAAACTCCAGCTCATATAAGCATGGTATGTGTATCGAACTAATTCCAGCTCACTTTGGCACTGTAGGTTTATGAAATCTCCAGTGTGTACTTTGCATTCACCRGTTTGTGTGGACCGCTTAGTTACAATGTTTCTTTCGAATCTATAAAACTTTTATGAAATCTCCTTCTCGTGCTTTCGGCTTTCACCAATCTGCTTCCTTGCTATTTTGTACTCTAAGCTATATTATGTTGGATTTGAAGTAGTGGAAAGTATAAGATTGACCGGCGAGCTATTCAAGTCTATTTATTTTTTGTCTAAGTCCCACTACAAAAAAACAGGGTCGTTTCCGACGGCCAAAACCGTCGGAAATCCGTC